TGCCTCTGTAATAGCAACTTTTTTGTTTAGATTCCACACATGAGTGAGTTTATATGGTTTTTGTCTTTCTGTGCCTGACTTACTTCAGGTCATATAATGTCCTCTAAGTTCGTCTGTATTGCCACAAATGACAGGATTTCATTCTGAGTACTGAATAGTATTCTATTGTGTATAAATTACCACATTTTGTTTTAACCCATTCATCTGCTGCTGTTGCACACTTCGTTTGATTCCACATCTTGGCTATCGTAAATTGTGCTGCAGTAAACATGGAAGTGCAGATATCTCCTCAACATGCTGACTTCATTTCTTTTCAGTATATACCCAGTAGTGGAATTGCTGGATCAAATAGTAGTTCTGTTTTTAATTTTTTGAGGACCCTGCATACTGTTTTCCATAATGGCTGTCCTAGTCTACACTCCCATCAACAGCGATGTTCCCTTTTTTCCACATCCTGGCCAACACTTGTTTTCTTTTGTCTTTTGGATAATAGCCATTCTAATTGGAGTGAGGTGGTACCTCATTGTTTTGATTTGAATTTTACCTGATGATTAGTGATGCTGAGCGTTTTTTCATATGCTTGTTGGCCATTTGTATGTCTTCTATTGAGAAATGTCTGTTAAGATCCTGTGCCCATTTCTCAATTGGGTTATTTGGCTTTTTGCTGTTGAGTTTTTAAGTTCCTTATATATTCTTGATATTGACCCCTTGTCAGATGTATAGTTTGGAAATATTTTCTCCCATTCAGTAGGTTGTCTCTTCACTCTTTTAACAGTTTCCTTTGCTTACGCTCTTTTATTTCTTTATAGATAACATGGTTAGAAGGCCATTCCTTGGCACAGACAGTATTTACGTGCCTTTACATTCATAATCCAGACTTTATAGAAGATCCTGCTATGAAAGCTTTTGCTCTGGGAATCTTGAAAATCTGTGACATTGCAAGGGAAAAAGTAAATAAAGCTGCTGTTTTTGAAGAGGTAAGATTTTGTAATATAAGAATTCCTGAAGCTCATTGACCATCTTATTCACTGTGATGTATTTAAATGATTTTATGATGATACATATTTTTGTCCACATGTATAGTTAAAAACAGTTTTTCAAAGTGATGCTATTGCTGCTTACAAATATGTTGGCAGAAGTAATCCAGTTCTCTCCAAGAAAGGGCTTTAAATTTTGTGCATGTTCTTTTCTGTCAGTATTGTTCACTGAGTATCCATTATGTGCTGAGTACTGTTCTAAATATTGTGGGGATTCACAGAAAAAATAGAGGCAGCCCCTTGCTCTCAAATCTCTCACAATTTACAACACAAAAAGGCTGTACTTTCAGTCTTTGGATAAGACAGAGCTAAGAAAAACAAAGATAAGAAGAGTATTTTTAGGGTATAAACATTTTCCTTCAGTTCTGAGTTCCTCACCTGAGGAAGTGTGAGCTTTAGATATAGAAAGTT